AAAAGTGAGTATCTTATATTTAAAATCCTTGAAGTAACTTAGCAGTTTTATTAGACATTTTATATGCATGTATCAAGTGTTCGTCTTTGTTGCAGGGCATGAAGCCAACTGTGCCCATCATGAGAACAAATTCCGTTGATAAGTAAGCAATTCTGTGATGTGTGATCTTTAAATGTCATTCAGGATTCATGAAAGAGGAGTAAAATCCACAGTTTTGTTATCCCACGTATAAACTCCTACGAATTTTGCATAAAGAAGTTAATGTCTTTATATTCTAGTTAGATTCTTTTATTAAAATGGAAATTGAATTGTGATATTCAGCATTATGAAACCATTGAGACTTGTAGGTGGTTACCAGCGGTTTGGAAGAAGCTGCTACCTCCATATTTATGGTAGAGGTACCACGACGGTGAAGTAGGTAGAAGTATCCAGGTAATGGAGGCAGGATTTAGAAATATCATATATTCATTTCTTCAAGTCAGAAATATATTAGGTTTGCAAAAGTGTGAATCCGACAGATTTGTTACAGTAATAAATAATTTGTATAAATATTAAAAATGTATATTATTGTGTCATGTCTAATTCTTTCTTGTTAAGCAGCGAATGTTTTGTCGTATGTTGCAGGAAAACCTGAAGTATTACTTTCCCACAAAATTTGCCGTGAAGATTTCTTTAAAGTAGGTATCTGTGAGAAGCTGAGATCTTCAGCACTTCACATACTTCAGAACTGTAGCTACGTATTGAACGTGATGAGAAACTGTAGATATGGATTTGGAAAATTTTCTCGCATTTTAATTTGTAGTTACTTGCACATTGGTGCAGATGTGGAATAGATAATATGTTAATTGAATTTTGGAGTTGCGTCAAAACATAGTCCACTGGAATGTACATAATAAATATGTTGTATTATCTCTGTATATTTATATATTTTAAAAAGTTGTGAAGGAATATGTAAGTGGTGGTTTGTGGATATGATTAAGTAAAATATTTTATAATCTGAAGCTTGTATTTATGTGGATTAAATTTTCTTTTGCACCAGTCTTATCTTTGCCACAAGTTGAATAGTTCCTTATAAAATTTGTACAATAGAGTGTTTTTATAGGATTGTGTGTTTCCTTCTTGGCATTCCCAGACATCCCTTTGTACCCATTTTACTTTCTAAACAAAATATTGCAACAAAACTATGTTATGTCTTGTTTATTTTGTGTAAGAACAGCATTGTTGAGTGTCAAAGGAACTGATTTCTTATTATTAATTAAATAGTTGATGTGTGCTGTAGTTTTTGTTTATGTACCCCATACTTTTTATTTCAGGTATTTAATCTGTGTTTGTTCCTGCTTTATAAAGACTAATGGTTTAATATATAATAATTTGTTCTTGTGTTGTGATATTCAGTATAGAATTATAATATTTGTTTGTCATGTGGAGATCTGTTGCAGTATACTATAATTTGTGTTATATTTTTGTTTTATGTCTACAGTGTATGTTCAGTCCTCTTATTTTTAATATTCTGCATAGCTGTACAGTAAACCATCGTCTACCGCAGTTGTACAGTTCCTGAGTAAAATCTGCATTTTGCAGACTTAATACAGATTTTCCATATTATCTGTATGGAGTTATGCCAGGTAAAGAAAAACAATGTTTTATTCCGGGTTGTGCCATCTTATATTGAATTTCCCTCCTTACTCCGTGTAATATGTCTCGAATCGAATATCGTTTTATTCAGGATTTGTGTTATCCGTGTTCACACTTATGTTGGCTATGTTCGTCTTAGAAATTACTTTCTCCGTGGACATTCCGTAACGTTAACTTGTCAAATTTGAAAACTGGAGTAATCGTTTTTATTCTATGTAGAATCTTACGTGGTGGTTGTATCTAATTTCGGACATATGGTTATTTAATTTTTACGTATATGTTAAGGAATAAGCTGATATATATTTTTTTGGCCAGTTTCGTGGGATATTTGGACAAGCACGTGTTTGATATTTGACGAAGTGGCTGTGTATTTTGCAGTATTATGTCACTATTTAAAGCAAGAGATTTATGGTCTGCACAATGTGGTGAAGATGAAATATTTGATCACACTAGTATTATTACATCTAATTTGGGTAGTCGGTGTGATAAAGTTATAGTTGGCAGTCATTCTGGGTACTTGCGTGTATTTCAGCCTTCATTCGTGAGATTAGAAGAAGATAAGACTATTGGCTATAAACCAACGGATCTTCTAATTGAGACACATCTTCCACAGCCAATACTTCAAATTAGCGTGGGAAAACTTGTCTCGTAAGTACTTATTAGAATAAAATAGAATTTATTTACATTCTATAGATCCTACATTAGGCCTAAGCCAAAGATGTAGAACAGGTCATTGCACAAATACAATACTTGTTTCTATTACGACTATAAATACATAGTTATAACAGCTATTAACAGATTTTTGCAACTATAGTATTACAGCAAAATAATTATGATGAGAAATATTACCATTATTACTTACATGTATTTATAAATTCTTCTACTGAGTAGGAGTGAGATAGGGGATACTCTTTTAATGCTGGCTTGAACATTTTTATGCCATGATTTAAACTTTTGATAGTAGGTGGAAGATTATTGAATAACTTAATTTAGTATAGTAAACTCCTTTTTGATATTTACTGAGGTTAGAATTTAGCACATGGAGGTTTCATCTGTATCTTGTTCTTATATTGTGGATATCTGAATTTGTTTGAAATTGCTCCATGTTATCCACTACAAATAATAATAGTGAGAGCAAGAAATTACTGGGTAGTGGAATAATATTAAACTTCTTAAATAATTCCCTACAAGAGGCTATCATTTTAGTGCCTGCCATTATTCTAATAATCCTCTTTTGAATGTAAAATACTTTTTTGCTGTGTGTTGACTTTCCCCAGAAAATTATTCCATATGACATGATGGAATGGAAGTAAGCAAAATAAAATAATTTTAAAGTTTCTGTTTTCACGAATACTGCAACTGTCCTCACAGCAAAACATGCCGAGCTTAGTTTATGGATAATGTATTGCATATGCGTTTCCCAGTTTAATTTGTTGTCAATTTGCAGGCCAAGAAATGTAGTTGTTTCTATTTCCTGGATAATTTTATCATCATACCCAATATTTAGATTTACACAAGTTCTGTAGTTAGAAAAAAATTTCATGAAATATGTTTTGTCAAAATTTAATGTGAATTTGTTGGCTTTAATCCGTTTGTCCAATATAGGAAAGACATCATTTATGCAATTTTGAAAACAGTCAATTTCTGGATGTGAAATAATAATATTAGTATCATCAGCAAAGAGTATAGGTTTAGAATGAGAGATGATGGTTGGGGGCAGATCATTGATATAAACGAGAGAAAGTAGAGGACCAAGTATTGAACCTTGAGGCACTCCATGTTTTACAATGCCCCAATTTGAGTAGGTGCTATCATTTGAATTTGATGATTTTATTTCTACTTTTTGCTTTCTGTCATGAAGGTATGATTTAAACCACTTGCCAGTTATATTTTTATCTTAATAATTCATGATTTACACAATCAAATGCTTTGGCAAGATCACAAGATATTCCACCAACATGCGCTTTATTATTTAGTTCACTTAAGATTTCATCTGTAAAACTGAACAGGGCTCTTGGTGTTATATAAATTCTTATTGCAGCTGTATTTATTTTAACAGAGGTTCTCAGACTGAGCACTTGAGTGTGCTTCATCCGCGGAGTGTAGCTGTGTATAGTTTGGTGACGAGAGCTGGTGCTACTGAGCATGGTAATTATGGCTGTTTAAATAGGTTGTTTATTTAATTTAATCTTGAAGTCTTATGTATTTTTAAACTGTTTTAAGGGGTAGAAGTGTTATTCATCTTTATTAAGCACCTGTACACGTAATGTATGACAGAACCTGCGTTATACAGATTATTAAAACAAATTTGTGAGAATTAAATTTATTACATCTGTGAAGATATTTGTCTTCTGAGTAGTAATGCTGTGTAGGTAGGTACCAACATTTTGGAGGAATATATTGCCGTCATCTTTAGGGCTGAAGTGTTGGTATCTCCATACAAGTCCACATTTATGTGGGACATGCATTGAGATCCCATTGTATCTGTGGAATAGCATCACAAATCAATGTATTTAAATTCAGACGCAAGCAAAGAAACATTTACTTCTTTTGAATCTTATTCCCAGTCAGTTGAAGTTTTCTTCTCGGCAAGATGTGTTCCATGTCTTTCAGATTCTAAATATTTCATGTAGTAAACATCTCATAATACATTTTAAGGTTTCCTTGTTTGATCTTTTCAATAACTCCATTATTTTATGTAATTGTAGGTGACCAAAGTCGTTTGGTTCTGGCATATGAGCACCAGCTGCGCCGATCTGCATTTTGTATGGTGCTGGGACCGTTTGGTGGTGTGAATGGCAGAGATTTTCTGTGTGTCCAGTCCCTTGATGGCGCTCTAAGTTTTTTTGAGCAGGAATCATTTGCTTTTGTCCGTTTTCTCCCGGAATTTCTGTTGCCAGGTCCGATGGTGTTCTTGCCTCACACAGATTCATTTATTACTGTAACGTCCAACTGGAATGCAGAAAATTACAGGTACATTTGCTCATGCAAAGAAATAATGAGTTAAGAATTTTGTCGTTAGATATTTCTTTTGGTATCTGACACAAGAGATGTGGACTGGCCTCTAGTGGGAAGCTCTGATGGAAATAAAATAAATAAATAGGAGGATAATATTGAAATGGTCCCTAAAGAAGTATTGTTTGAGGGTGTTGACTGAATTAAACTGGCACAGGATATGATGCATTAGGGGGTTCTTGCAGACACAGCTAATAATTTTTTTAAAGGAGTTTCTTAACCTTTATTTTATGGGCATAGGGAATTTGAATCCTCAAATTATGATCCAGGCTTTAATATTAGGATTCAGGATTTAGCGATCGTAAGCTGCCGCACGGTCAGTAAAAATTAACGAGTTTCATGACTTGGTCCAGAGCGGTACTTCACAGAGTGTAACGTTCACTTCTTTCTCAGATGTGTAAAATTTCTTTATTGGTTTGGATACAAAATATTGTTTCACACTTGGTTAATGCTTCGTGCTGAAATTTGTATTTTTGCTTATGTTACGCATCTGAAACTCTTTCGCAACATAACGTCGTGGATTTGTTTACTTTCTGCTCTTTCAGGTATCAAGTTTTGGCTGAGGCCGGTGGACCAGGCGACGAGAAGTCTGCTTCTGGCCGTAAGATATCTGCCGAGTGGAGTTACAACATAGGTGAAGCGGCATTGGACGTTATCGCTGTTACGTGGTCAGATTCCTACTGCGATATATTAGTGCTTGGGGAGAGAAATCTCTTCTGTCTGAAAGATAATGGAACATTGAAGTTTATGAAGAGACTGGAATATAAACCTTGCTGTTTTCATCCATACTTTATTGGCAAGTTTATATTTTTACTTTGGTTTTTATTTCAGAAAGAAGTCATAACACCAGTCTTTCATTAAAGTAGGAAGACGTTTCAGCACAAATGAAACGCTTCATGTTTTGTCTGAATTTCTGGTCATCATCGTGCAGAAGCATAAAAATATAGAATGGATTTGCTGCTGTTTGTCACAAGACAAAACAATTATTAAATGTTTTATTAAGATAGATCCATTGAGATGAATTTGTACAAACCTTAACGAGACTAGGTCGAAGATGATTTTGATTTGTTTCTTTCATTTCAGAACCTGATGGGAAACTGATGATTCTTGTAGTCACAGATACCAATACGTTGCTCGTCTACGAGCACACGAGATTGCGCTGGTCTGCACAGCTCACCATCGCTCCGGTTGCCGTCGCTAGGGGAACATTTGAAATAATAAATTCGTCTCAGCAGAAGTCTGTTAGTGCCTTGTATGATAATTATTAAAATACAAAATTTATCTCACGTTAATGAATCATGACGTTATTATCCCTCGAGTTCTATGGAGCAGTTCTGTTGATAAATACACTTAGCCTTTTCTAGGCATAGAAACTAATCACTTCTAAACATTGTGCATTATGCTCTTAGGAAATTGTTTTTTTATGCAAAATCTTTAAAAAAAATGAACATAAAAGCCAAAAATTATGAGACCACATTGAACGAGTGTGAGGCAATGATGCAACAGGACAGAAAAGTAATTTTAATAACAACGTGTAGTTTAATATTCAGGATATTAACTCGACAGCCACATTGCAACGTGTTTGGGCAATATTTATGGCTTTCTGGATCTGATCGGTACATCGCCTTCTTACGTCATTAATTTTTGTTTTACAGAGCATGAGTGGTATATTGGTTCTACTCTCAGAACAAGGCGAACTTCAGTGTTGCTTCCTCGGCACAGAACCGTCGCTGTTCGTGGCTCCACCCCTGGAAATTCATGCCATAGATTATGAACAAGCAGGGAAAGAATTATCAGAATTACAACAAGTCGTCAAGGAATATACAAAGAGAGGTGGTAAGTGCCTTCATGTGCGTAAAAACTATACTTGCTTCTTCACGTATGGTTTTATTTGAATTAGCTGCGCGTTAATCGTGTAACAACACGTGGTTGACGCACTTCTGGATTAAATTTGTAAACTTTTTGATTTTTTTCTTATAGTTACAAAGATTTCTTATTTCGATTTGTTATTCCTCAGATCAAGGTTGGAAAAATGCCAT